GCGTGCTCAACTAGCACTTAAACAAATACAATATAGAAAGAAAAACGTGGCCGAACTATACACAATAAACAATAGCCACGGAAATATTTGAACAAATAAGATTCTCCTTTCCCTTTACAAATGCCATGAGATGAAAGATACATACATAATGAAACCAAACAGGGACAGAAGAACGCGCTAACGTCAATTTTAACTGAGATACGTGAGCGCGGGCCTTAAATCTTCCCAACTCGTCAACCTAACGTACAGAAACTGGGGTGGTGAACTCTGCAATACGAAAAGGCCCCCTATATCTTGGGCTTAATTTAGCTGACAATTTCCGTTCCGCCTTGCTAACGGGAAAGTTACGGAGCCAAACTAGGTCTCCGGTACGAAATGGAACGGGTTTACGGGTAATATCATATTTAGTTCTCACAACCTCGTGTGCTAGACGTAAATTTCGCCGTGCCGCGTCCCAACGTTCGCGTCACAGTGGTCAGGTAACAGGTCTTTAAGGGACCACAAATTCGACAACGGAGAGTTGGATGTGAAAGTAAACATCAGGCTAGAAGGTGAGGCTTTGTGCGAATCATGCCGCGCTGAGCTGAAAGCAAACTGGAGCCATGACAAGTTTTCATCCCACCGCGAATGGTCACGATGGTGGTAGGCAATCAAAGCCGCGCGAAGATTCCTATTAAAACGCTCAGCATGAGAAGGTTGAGGATAATACGGCGTAGTGGTCACGTGACGAATGCCTCGGGCAAAACACATCCGCCGAAACTCGCGTGATGTGAACTGAGCCGCATTATCAGAGACCAAAACCTCCGGAACACCAAACACTGCAAAAATAGAATGCAACGCCCGTGTTGTCGTTGCAGTAGACGCTTCCCTCACGGGGAAAATCCAACTAAACTTGGTGAAAGCGTCAACGCAGACAAGGGCATACGTGTTCCCTGCTCTCGACCGAGGAAATTTGCCAACGAAATCAATAAACAACTTTTCCATGGGGCGAGTAGCTACGTCCGAGGACAACATGCCGTAATGCGTATTCAGCGCGGGCTTACTAAGCCCACAGAGTCTACAAGCTCTGACTCGAGAAGCAATGTCAGAATCCATGCCCTTCCAAATAAAGGACTGGCGGATTTTGTGAATAGTCTTACGCACACCTAAATGACCGCCGAGAGGAGACTCGTGAAAATAGCCGTAGAGAGAGGGTACAAGAACCTGTGGAACTACTATCTTAGGCTGCCGGTCATAACGCGCCTTGCAGTGAAGGACACCCTTCTTTAACGAATAACCGGGAACTTCTTCTGAACCCAGCCGCTCTATAATGGCATTTAATTCTGGATCAGAGCGCTGATGAATACCGATATCTTCGAATAGGATAGGAAACTCAAGAAGAACCGGTGCAACTACAAGTTCAGCTTGGTCATCATACATGCGTGACAGGGCATCGGCAATAACATTCTGTGTGCCACGAATGTGGTGAGCCTGAAACTTAAATGATGACAGTCGTATGACCCAACGACCTATTCTTCCTAATTGACGTGGATGTGAGAGGCACCACGTAAGAGCTTGATTGTCAGTCTCTAAATCAAACTCGACGTGTTCCAGATATGGGCGAAATTTTTCCAGACCAAAAAGCACGGCAAGACATTCTAACTCATACGCCGAAAACTTCCTCTCCTGTAGAGACAACGTCCGGGAAGCGAACGCTATTGGTTGGCGTTCCCCCTCATACTCCTGCAATAGAACTGCAGCAACCGCAAGGGAACTGGCATCAGTCTGTAGGATAAACCTACGAGAGAAATCGGCCATGCGTAGAACCGGAGGATTGGTGATAGCAAGTTTCAAATCCTGAAACGCCTGTTGCTGTTCCAACCCCCAAACAAATGGAGTATCCTTCTTACGAAGGAGATTAAGAGGGGCGGCGCGTTCGGCAAAGTGTGGAATGAACTTATGAAAAAAATTTACCATTCCTATAAATCGCGCGATTCCTTTAACATCACGCGGAGGTGGGAAATCCCTAATAGACTTCGTCCTATCAGGGTCCACAGAGACACCTGAAGGGGCAATGATGTGATCCAGGAATGATAACTGAGTAGTGGCAAATTGAACCTTACTAGGATTTACGGTCAATCCGACCTTGCGCAGCTTGGTAAAGACTTCACGCAAGTGGTGGAGATGCTCGTCAAAAGAATCACTATAGATCACCAAGTCATCCAAATAATGGAAGACATATTTAAATTTGATGTCAGAGAACACTTGATCCAACAAGCGCGTAAGAACTTGAGCGCCTGTTGCTATGCCAAAGGGAACCCTAGTATACTCATACAAGTTCCAGTCAGTCGCGAACGCCGTGAGGGGCTTCGATCGCTCGGTCAATGGAATTTGATGGTAAGCAGAGTTGAGATCCAGCGAAGTAAACACTTTAGCTGACTTGAACCAATGGAAGCAGGAATGAACATCTGGCAAGGGAACTGACTCAATCTTAATCTTCTTGTTGAGTGCGCGGTAATCAACCACAGGACGAAATTCGCCCTCGCCTTTTGGTACTAGGAATATAGGGCTAGAATATGCAGATGTGGAGGGACGGATAATGCCTTGTTCCTACATACGCTGAATATGCTGGCGCAACACTTTCATCTTCGGAGGCATAAGCCTATAAGGGGCGAGCTTGACCGGAGACTGGTCAAGCAACTCGATGTCATATTCCAAGAGAGTGGTAAGACCTAGTTTAGGAGTTAACACATCGGTAAATTGATTAATCAGCTGTGAAAGAGAGTCCGACAATGGGGGAGCGAGATGGGACAAATCTGGACCAGTTTCCACAGATGTGCAAATTCTGGGCACATGCGAATCAACTTGACGCCGAATCAACGGCAACTTATTAGCCGGGTCAAATTTAAAGTAAGCAAAACCTTCACAAATGTCCATTAGTAAGCCAGTCTTACCCAAGAAATCGGATCCCAAAATAACTGGGTAAGCTAAATTCTCCACTACGTAGAACACAACTTTCCACGTGTATCTGTCTATCCTGACTTTACACGTAACAGCAGTGTAAACCGGAAATGACTGCCTAGCCGCAGTAACACAATTTACTTTAACAGAAGTTACCTGAACAAACGGGACGGCTTGTTTAAGCCTTTCATAAGCAGAACCCGACATCAGGCTACGAACTGCACCGGAATCTAACAAAGCCGGTAACAGGCCAAAACCTAATTCAACATGCAGAGTAGGCAACGGATGGGGAATAACTCCTTTTATTCCCATCATGTGGTTATGCACACTACGGGAATTAATGCTCGCGAAAGGACCGTTACGTACAGGCGCGCGAGACGTATCTCGTGTTAGTCAAGAATCGGGGGGATGCCCCCAAGACGTAAATGTAAGAGTAGATTGTAGATTCGTAGGACAGTCCCGACGAGTATGTCCTGGTTTCTTACAACGAAAACAGACTACTGAGGCAGCGCGAGATACGGGATTGCCAGAACGAACCGATCGAGTAGAGTTGGACGCTACAGAGTGTGTGTGGGAGTTCATTACCTACATTATAACCCTTACTCTCAACATTATCAGCATACACGCACATATTATCCAAATCGGCATAACTATGCGGCTTGTCACTGAACACTAAACAGCTCCTCTGATATGGATGCAATCCATCGAGAATATTGCGGACCACAGCGGACTGATCGATATCCTGACGAAGAACGGCGGCTATCTCTTTAATGTCTGCAACATAGACAGCGAGCGGCTCATTCTTCCTTTGCCGTCGGTGATAGTCCGCGTTCAACAATGGCAACATTGTACGGGGCGGAATAAAGAAAGCTAATACGTGTTCGTGAAAAGCATCAAGCGTATCACCAGAATGTATAGCGGCCAATATCTTGGATGCCAAAGGACCCTTAGTAAACCCATATTGAATTTGCAATATCTGCGCCGTAGAAATACGGAACGCAGGTGCCATAAGTCGCAAACGTACTAAAGCTCGTAGGAACTCAATAAGCTCGGATACAATGAGTCCGTCAGTAACATGAAGACTTTCGAGCATTTTGTGTACAGGATTAGGCAAGTTCGCAAAACGGAGAGAACCTCCCAAAGTACTCGAATCGTAATTAACCACCGGAGGTACCCCCTGGCTAGGGGATAGTGGCTGCTCCTGAGAAGGTAAACACGTACCAGGAGTGAGATTAGAGGCAGTCAAATGCGTTCCGCTCTTAAGTTCCGCCCTATTAAAGTCGGACGGAGCGGCACCCTGAACCTTAAGAAAGGAAACAGCAGCAGGCTGATCCCCTGAAGGGTGACTCTTCTGCAAGAAATCTACCTGCACAATCATATACTGCATATATTGGTGTACTTCTTCTTGGAAATTTATGGTGTCAGCCCGCACATCTGGTGCGAGTTTGCTCAAATGCAATAGATGACGTAGCCGGGTACTGACATGTCGCAACCAATGGAGGTAACGAGGAAAATCGAGACCAATGGAAGAACAGTCTGTGTTCTCCACCAAATTCTTAATCTGCCGAAAACGATCATGGCAAAATGTTACCACTTTATTAGGGGCCAGAAAGATATCAGAATTAGTACACGCGTCAAGGTTTTCTTCTACTTCGCGTGACTTACGGAAAATAGATCGCAAATCCGCAACATTTAAACCTTCCGTATTTGTACCACGGACCTCC